TTTTTAACTTTATTGAATATTGTGTGACCAATAGTATTTTGCAGTCTTTTGTGTTATTGGTCAAATTATTTTTATTAGATATGTTAAATAATACTTTTTAGAAGAAAAGTTTTTTAATATACGCGTTTTTAGTTAAAACATCTTACATTTTGAAACGGAGGGAGTAGTTTCTGATTCTCTTTTCAAACAACCTTTTCTATCATGTAAACTTCGTTTGCAACTTTCTTTTCCAATCGTTCATTTTAACCGTCCGTTTTAAACGATCGTTCGATTGGTAACGATCAAACGATTCAACCAAACGATGCAACCAATCTAACCCATATATGCTTTTTTTGTTTGGTCTAACTATGTATATTATGTAGTATTGTAGTACACAACTTCGTACAAATCTCTATGAAATAATTTAACCATAAAACCACTAAAATGTTTAAAGTAATTTTTTTATGGAGCCGGTTTTATGAATATCCAATAGATATCCTAAAGAGGCAATATGTACTTTTGGAGATTATAAAATTATTAGTTAAGCTAGTCGTGATTAACGTGTTAAAATCTTACTCTATGGCAAGAGAAGAAGGTGAATAAGTCAAAGAGTAGATAATCTCCTAGCGATGATTATTGTAGCATCATCTCTCATATTTTTCAGTCACCTAATCATGTCAATAAAATCATGGGTTGATTTGGTTAATAACCAAGAAAAAATTTAAATATAATAATTAAACAAAAATCTTAAAATTAATTGCTATTATTAGTGTCACATACGGGATTTTGCTTAGTTATTATTTTTCAAATTTTTTTTTGGTTATACTTGTCAATTTCTCTAAAATCATAACTATATGAGTAAAATCTATCATGGATAAAATAGAATTTTATAGTAAAATCTATCATGGCACCAAAAACGCCTTAGCGGATTAATAAAGCAGTTTGACAATTGGGTTGACATCGTTTTGTTCAACTCTTCACGTTGATTTTATTCACGATTATCTTCACCTCATCACAATCATCTTTGAATTTGACGAACTGATAACTAACAGTTGGATCAGATTTCATTCTACTAAGATCAACGACTAAAAAAAGGCTAGGTACAAGAATTGGACCTAGCCGAATATTTTGGATTGGATGAAAAAGTTGTATGGCAAGCCAAATCTAAAAGTAAAATCTACGGAGAACCGAATTTTTCGGAGAGCCAAATCTACGGTCTCTTAACATATTCAAAAAAATTGGTTGAGTGTCACTCTTATACTCCTTTTGGAAGAATTTCTGAGCATGTGTTGCATATCTTCTGAATCTTCTCGAAATGTTTCTCCTAAAACGTTTTCAATAAAGTGAATTCTATTTTTCTTTTTTTTTAAATATGTGAATGTAATGCAAGTTTGAAAGAATTGAGTGTTTTGATCACCCTCAGTTAACCAAGTATTCTAATTTTAAGTTTTTGATAGAACCCTTTGTTGCGGTAAGTTGTAGCTAAAAGTATTACATATTTTTCTTTAGATCATTAGGAATTAAAAATCATTACGAATGCTTCGTATACGTGAACGTAAATGGACCAGTTGACGTTAACGCCAATTCGAGTCCAATTTGCAGATCTTCGAATCTCTAAATTATGGTTACTCAGATTTTTTATATTAAAACAGAAATGGATGATAATTTACATATATAGTCCAATTCTTTTTTTTTTTTACATCAGTCCTAATCTGTAATATTATGATTTCATTTTGCAAGGCCCTAATTTTTCAATACGTAATCGCTAATCAGGGGATTTCCATAAGTGCCACGTGACCCTAAAAAGACGCAAAAGGGTCCCACCATGATATCTCGCACGATAACGACGTGGAGTCCCCAAAACGACACCGTCTTGCCCTCTCTTCGGACACGAAAACTGAGTGGGCACCGTGTTCGTGTAGGACCCACCTCGCCTTCTCCGACGAAACAAAAATATA